CAGATAAACATGTTCATGGCTCCACAGATAAATATGTTCATGGCTCCACAGATAAATATGTTCATGGCTCCACAGATAAATATGTTCATGGCTCCACAGATAAATATGGAAGGCACATTTTGGGCCAACGAAGCGTCATAAAATCCATCTGTTGCCTGTTTCTCCCACCCTCCCTCTGGTCCAGTTTAAAGWGAATTAATTGTCTCCTCACTGCTGCATCTTTAATAAAGATCTCTGTGTAACAAACAGCTCCTCCAAATGCTTCTGCTCMTGTGTTGGGATTTAGTTTAATTACGGTTTACATCTTAATTTATTCTTTTTTAAGGTGTGAAGCAGAAGGATTAGCAGGTAAAGTGAGTCAGAAGTGGACAGACGATGCTGACTGCACGTTTGTCTGCAAATAAAACACATGAACTAACCTCTGAGTTTATTTTATTTTATTTTTTAAATGATAGACTGCAAATGAGTGAGGATTAGGGCCAGAGAAAATAATAATTCTGACTTTATTCTCAAAATTCTTACTTTATTCTCAGAATTCCGACTTTATTCGCAAAACTCTGACGTTATTCTCAGAATTCAGATTTTTTTTCCATAGAATTTTGTCTTTTTCCTCAAAATTCTGAATTTTTTGCTCATAATTCTGCAAAATAAAGTCAGAATTCTGACTTTTTCCTGAATCTGAGTAAAAATCTGAATTCTGACTTTTTTCTCAGAGTCCTGAGATCAAAAAATAATTATTTTTCCCCAGAGGTCCTAATCCTTTCCCCTAACTACAGGTTATATGTCTAAATAAAATTTGCCCTCTTAAGATGTGTTCCTGCTTTGTTTTTCTGACGGTGAGGATAGAAAACAAACATGCGCTACATAAACAAATGATCAGGATCATTGGTCTAAAAAACCTTAAATGACTTAATCATATAAAGTTTGTAAAGCAAACAGTTCATTGAACAAAAATGTGCTAAAACTTAAAAAAAAGAGAATTAAGCAAACATTTTAAAAGAAATGCCAAAAACATACGTTTCACAACCTATCCCTCAGAATAAATGTTAGGGATGAGTCTCAGCTACTACCACACCAAATGTTTAATATCCATTAAATTAACAGAGTAAAAACCACTTGGTTGATTATCTGCGTCGGTCATGTGATGATTACGTTTGTTAAAATGTGTCCTGGTTTGTAAGATCACACAGATCACCTGCCTTTACAATGATAGATGATAAAAAGCTAAATGTAGCTGCAGCAGCAGAGGTAAAAACATCTGAATCAAACCGTGACTCATCCCATCTGAATTCATCAAACCAACCTTTAGCAATGACTGGAAACACTGCGTCAGACAAGTTTTCTGTAAACACGAGCTGAACGCTGATCAATAAACTGATGGGCTGACAGAACACAGTACCAACAGACAGATTAAAGGTAATCATACAGGCGACAGGTCCAACATTATGTGTTCAATAACTGGTGTGATCTTCAGTCACAAGCTGGCCAGGCTGCATTGTTTAAAGGACTTCCTGAAAGCACAATTTCTGCTTTCACTCATTGAATTAGTATTTATTAGAAAAGAACAGGTTTGACTCAATAATAAAAGCCTGTTAGAGATAAATCACACACGTCTTTACGGTTTATAGTCTGTTAAATAAGATCATATAAACTTCACTTCCCACTCAGTCCGATCAATCCTGAAGCATCTCGTGAGGATTTACTTTTATCAGCATCTTTATTTAAACAGCTTTGTTTATTCTTCAGAGGATTCTCCTTATCTGTGCTCTTTTAAAACACATAAAACTGAATTATTAACAGCAGTTTTTACAACAGATGCTGATGGATCATGAGGTTCTGACCCACTTCTTTCTAATCTTTACTTTAATCAGATGCTCTGCTCATTGTTCAAAGAAAGTTAACTTTTAGCTCAGAATTTGGTCATTTGGCCGGTAAAGTCCAGTGAGTGTAACTTTATGTCCAATAAAGCCAAAACCAAAGCAACAAACTTCATCCAGTTTTTATAACYACAGAGAAATAAATCACTTACTTGTTTGTCATCTGGCAGTGGGAGTCATTCCTTTGTGATRCCTGAAACGAGAACAACCTTGAGTTATATGTTGTGTAAATTATTAATTTTACAGTGATGTAATATTAAAGCACCTTTTAACTCCCACAGGTTTGTTCAGTTCTTTAAACTTCAGCTCTAAGTCTTTAGGAATCAGCACAGATCAGAACAGAAACACTAAGAAATACAAAAAAAACTGAACAGTTTAGATATAAAAAGTTCCAAATTCACCAAGAGATTGTGCGTCTTTGATACAAGCAAACTTTAAAGTGTAATTCACAAAAACCCTCCAAAGGAAGACATGCACCTGAAGCTGTGCTGCCAACAGTTAAATCAGYTTTTCCTGCTGCGTTTACAGGGAAACTGGAGGTAAACTGTCCAGATTCATGGAAACAACTTCCCTTTGATTCTCAAATACCAACAACGTTTGTATTACATCAAATATTTAGCATCTCTGAGAGCTGGGGGAGGGGGGGTATTTTTTGTTTATTTTGGACTTGGAGCAATCTGCTGCACTGTTTTCTTCACAAACAGCAGTGAACATGGCATTATTGTTGCATTTGTGCATGAAATATTTCAACAGATAAGGAAAAAAAAATTGTATAGGTCCTCTGGACGGGTTCTTCTCTAATGAAACGTTTCGTCTCTCTTCCAAGAGACTTCTT